CCAACCACAAACTCTCCCAGACAGCAGGTTTGTCCGGAGAACCTCATGGCATCCTTGTTTCACTGTACTGTGAGAAAAGAGGAGGATTTTTTTACGTCACCTGGTTTATTCACGGGGGAGGGCGGCAGAAAACTGGCAGGCATGGTCCTCAGCCGATCGCTCTGCAGCGCGTGTAAGAACGGCTCTTTTATGTGCTCTGCGAAGTAAAGAACGGTGAAAGATAAAAGGAAAAGGCGGAGACAAGGCAGCAGTGCAATCGCAGACTACAATGCTGCAAAACAAGCCGGGCTCGAAACAGACAATGAACAGCGCTTCTACGTAAGCACAGGAGTGAAAGACAAAGCCACGCATTTTGCATTTCCACTTTCTCAGACTTAACATCTGTTATTTCTTTGTGTTCCCCTTCCCTTATGCCCGTACCTGGAAGCTGTGGGTATATCTTGTCTGTCATGTATTCCCTGAGGTTCTTTGGCATTTCTCCTCTGATATCCACCAAAACCCTGGTTTCAGACGATGAGATCTGGTATATGAGAACTGGGCTGGGGTTGGCCAGAACAAGCTCTGCGTGGTTTGCCTTGAACTGTGGCGAGTTCTGAAAAAGAAAACGCAGCCACTCAGACAAGAGCAGTGCATTACTAGAGACAGCTAGTCTCTCCATCCCTCTTTTCAGTCCCACAGAGTTACACAGACCAAAACACGCCTTTTCTATAGATGTACCAATAACTCAGTGGTCCATGACTCCTTTCTTTCGTTTGCAGTACATACATTTAGGTCATGAGAAATATCAAGGCTTATGAAATAAATGTAGCGAAAAGTGCTTATTGAGTGGATTCGTCACAGTGAGGTCTGGCTCGGCCCATTTGGCTGAGGGCTGAGCTCCTGGCCAGAGGACGAGGAGGCTGGGACCCCCCCTGCAGAGTGAGGGGTGACCCAGGGGCAGCTGCAGAGGGGGAGATGGGGTGGAGGAGGGATGCAAGAGACATGAAAAGGGAGAGAGGGAGCAAAGGCTCGAGCATATCAGCTAGATAATTACGTCAGGAATGATCACGAGTTGAGACAGCTAAGGTGAGAGTGAACATGGCTGCTGTCATCCCTTGAGTTAAAAAGTACATTCACTGCAGAGAGTCACAGCTTCCTCTGAATTATCTTCAGTATAGTGTTCACCATTTGTTTTTTAAGTAAATGTACTGAACTAGAGAAGACCGTCACAATCTGACGGAGCTGCGGATTAACAGTTTTATCGATTTACAAGGGTTATAAACAAGAGAGGGCCAGTTTGGTCTTTCCAGCTTGTTTGGTTTGTAGAAGTTGATTGATCTAAGGATCTCTGTATTGCCATGTTTTTTAAGTATACAGTCTGTTCATTTTGCACTTTGTGCAGCTTTAGATGTTGTTGTTCTCCACTTCTGCAGTTCTCCGACCCTCCTCGTATCCTTTTTCACATCC